TGGCATGTAATATTAATAGGCAGTCAATAAAAATTTTACGAGTTATTCCAAAATTAAGTGTCCTCCCTATTTGATTAAAACAAGTAACTGACAAACAGAGTTTTATGAAAAACAAGACCATTGCTGGCAAAGATGTTCTGAGGTCCAGGCCCCCTTACGAGAAGCCCACCCCGCGAGGGGCCCAGAGGCTCTTGCCCAGAAGGTCTGGGCTCTGCCTTCTCCGTGGAGAATTCCCACCTGGGCCACTGGGTGAACTGCTCAGTGACGGCCTGGACTGAGGCTGCGTGGTTAGGGGCACTTTTTGGTCAAATATCATGACACATTCTAATTTCACGTTCAGAGCGTCAAGGAGATAATATTGTAAATACTTAGAAGCTGCTCTCATTCTGTGTCTAAATAACATGGGAAGCTGTGCGGGAGGAACCTTTCTACAAACACTTAACTACTGCATCACAGTAAAGTAGCTCTTGTCCGTTTGCTTTATTCTTCCTGTGCACATGCTCACGTTGCCAGCTAGTCCCGTCAAGTCAGCATTTATGACCCGCTGCTGTTGAAGCCGAAGCTGAAGCCAGCACATTTGCCGAGTGTTCATACGTTCTAATAAGCCAAGCGTCTTCCTAGGTATCTGGCACGGTGAGCGTTTAGTAAGTGTTGAGTGTTGTATTATTTGGAGCAAGCTTTTGCTTTAGGATGCAGCTAGAAGAATCGTATTTTAAAAACAAATGTATTTAGCCTCAGCAATATTCTGTCCTGCTATACCTTCTTTATTTAAGTTGTATTTTTCAAATGGATCCTGAAAAATTGTTTCAGAAAGACTGTCTTTGTTTTCTTCAAGGCGAGACCAGATGCATTGTCCAGATTCTGCACGGTGTGTTTCAGAAAGAGAGATCAGTGTATATTTTCTAGTGGTCATGGCTTCTAGCTGACTTTTTGTTTATGTCTTAAGAAATGGTACCTGAAATAGGCAGGCTTCTCTGGAGTCCTGACCCCAGGGTGCGTGCGTGCTCTTCAGTGGGGAGGGAGGGTCTCGCCTGTTCGGCTCACGGGGGTGCACCCCACTGGCCGTGCCCAGCAGATGTTTGAAGGAGAAGGGAATAAACACACATCACATTTTCATCACAGCTTTGTTAGCAAAGCAGATGTTGTCATCTCTACCTTGTGCAAAGTAGGCAGTTGTCTAGAGGGTGAACTGACTTTTATTTACGGCCGCACCATTTGTATGCAGGTGAGCCAGAACTTAGACCCCGAGTCTTCTGACTTTACACTGAGTGTCCCTTCTGTCACCTTGATGAACTTGAAAGTCGTCATTAGCCATTAATGTTGTAATAGTAAAAGCATACAGATAAATGCAGTAGAGAGAGAGCATGTATCACTGAAGTTCACTAAGGATGGTCCCTTCGTCAGTGTCGTGGAGCCTTTGAAAACTGTAACCAAAATCCTCTCCTGATCCCACTCCGGGCGTCTGACCACAGCCCCTGCGGACGCATCCCCAGCTTCCCCGGCTGCCCCCTGAGGCCTCAGCCACGCGGATGACAAAATGTGCCTGCAGCTCCTCTTGGAGCTTCCCCCAGGCCGGGGGTGCCCTCTGGTGCCTCCACTGTGCCAGGCCTCTTGTGCTGCAGGTTTGAAAGAGCCTACATCCTCCTACAGTTGGATTTGGAGCAACATTTCAAAGCAGGAAACTCAACAGGCAGTTAAACCCAAGGAGCAAATCTGCATTCAGGCTTTAGAAACACACCTGAAAGCGTCAGTGTGGTCCCTGCGAGGTTCAGAGCAGGGCCTGGGGAGCAGGGCCACGAGCAGGGTGACCTGGCCTTGTGTCTCTCCTTAGAGGGAGGAATTGCGATTCCAACCTCAGAAGACCTCAGTGGTCTCATCTGTTGCACGCTTGTGGCCTTCAGACCTCAGTCCCTGGACACGAGGCGTCTAGGCCCCAGCCCAGTGCCCCTGATGGCCTCCACCTCCCCACCCCCGCACACCACCCCTCACCTTTCAGGAACGTCACAGAACAGGGACAGCAAGGAAATGGTTCACAGGTTAGCGTCCGTCGGAGAACAGCGATCGTTTCTACAGCACACAACCCTTCCATGTGGGCACCTGGCATTACTTCTCCCTGCCCCTTGGACACAAATAGGAGCACCCAGCACCTTGGGGTGAAACTCGGGAACTAGCACTTTGGGGATTTACGCACATTCTGCCTGGAGGACCCAGTGCCCAAGCACCTCCGACGTGTGCCTGGCATGTAGTCGAACCAGCAGATTCACGCTGGGTGAATGAATCCATTCCCTTAGCGCTAACCGGTTTCAGCACAACGATTAGCTGTTTGGAGGGAGGCTGTCAATGATTGATTTTTGTGTTTTTAAGTTTTTCTTGTTACCACACCAGCACGTGTGTTGCTCCAGAGTTTGTGATCATGTCTCGCGAGCTCCCTGGGGCCGCCTGCTCTTTCAGACCTGCCGCTGCCCCCTGCCCACTCCTCATGGGACTGTGGGCCCCCTGCCCCCCCCCCCCTGATGTGACGTGTGATGGTCCAGGAGCAGCTGTATGTCCTCTCACCCCAGGACCACAGCTTTTCCCTTCTCTGTTTCCGTTACCCCCCTTTTTTTTTCCCTAATATTTATTTATTTGCACCGGGTCTTAGTTGTGGCAGGCGGGCTCCTTAGTTGTGGCTTGCAGGTTCCTTAGTTGTGGCATGCATGTGGGATCTAGTTCCCTGACCAGGGATCGAACGCGGGACCCCTGCATTGGGAGCACAGAGTCTTAACCACTGCACCACCAGGGAAGTCCCTCCAGTGTTACTCCTTGAAAGAGTTATTTGGGAGGAGGGTAATCATTTCATTCTTTCTATTCATCAAAGGAAAGTCTCCAGGAAAGATAAAGTGTTCTTACTTGTGCAAGGCTGAGGCGCTATGCTCCTCCCAGCGTGTTACCCTGTAGCCACATAAAACGGGAAGCTCGATTGCTTTTTCAAATTTTCTTTCAACGCAAACATGGTCCTGACTCTTAGAAGCGCCTGCACTCTTATTCTTACCTCCACAGCTGTGTGTTTGGAGTTGGATTAGTGAGTTAGATTTACCTCTTCCTTGGGGGGCTTAATGGCTGCGCCTAGACCCGTGCTCTTGCCAGGAGCCGCCTTCTCTGGGGCAGCGTGGGCATCGGGCCCAGGGCGAGCGGTCGCCCACACATGACCTCAGCTTGCTTCGTCCTAAGTCCGATTTTCTGCTTCTCAGGCAGCTCTCTGGCCCCACTCGTCTCTGTTCCCTTGAAGAACCTGAGGAGCTCACAGCAGCCCTCATGTTCCAGGCACGTGGCTGGGCCCAACTGCTGGTGCTGGTCCCAGCAGCACTGACAGGACCCCAGTTTCATGGAGACAGAGGCCGTGGGAGCCCCTCCTCTGGCTTAGACCCTCACTGGCCCAGTGTCGGGCCGAACTTCTAGTAACCGCGTTTTCTCTCTGTACGTGCGTGAGCCAGCCCTCCACACTGTTGCAGTTTAAAGACTCGAGACCTGAGTCCAGTGGTCACGGAGTTGACCCGAGCACAGCGGCTGAGGCCTGTGGGCCCCGTGCTCGTGGCCTGCCTCACGCCCAGCCTGGGGCCCTGGGGGACAGCCCTCCTCTTGCGGGCAGAAAGCTTTCCTGGTCGTCAGCACAAGTCACGTGTTCCGCCTTCGCTGATATGAAGACTTGTTACTCTGCAGCTGTCCTTTTCTCTCAGGAAGAATCGACCTGTTTCTGGATTGTATTTAATTATTCTTCAACCAGTTTTCTCAGTTACTCCGTCAGCAAAATAGAATTAAACACGCCTGCACCTCCATATCCCCAAGAAATATTTATGAGGTTGGCTCCTCAGAAGAAAAGCCGTGTGCCTCCTTACACACCAGGATACATGGCAGAACCAGAAGCTGGCTGTGTATTGAGAATCTGCAAATGCCACGTCAACAAGGTGATTGCAGTTCAACTTCCATGAATAATCAGTAGCTTGGACGACATTATGGGAGAAGATCCTCCTCAACATCATCATGATTTTGCAATACAGTAGAATTTTCTGTTGTGTAGAGAAGGAATTGTCAGTTTGTGCAATTAATTCTAGAAGGAATCCTGAGATATTAATTCCACTCCAAGTGAAAGCCATTGTTTTAGAGTTACAATAAAGCAGCATTTTGTTTTTATATTTTTTTTCTTGCAAAATAGCGAAGGAGCTCTTAAGGAGCCCTGTGAATGCCAGGAGCCCCTCACTGCAGCCCCACACGGGTGCGTTCTCACACTCTTGTCGATAGAAGGCGAAGCTGGGTCCCTGTCTTCCTGCCACAGGTCACTGCTTGTAGAGAGGAGGCTGGACTGAACCCATGCCCGCTGCCTGCAGACTGCGCTCTGCCCTCTCGTGTGTGCCCGCCCTGGAGGGCAGCCATGCCATCCTGAAGTCATGGGTTTGTGCAGTCTCTAACTTGCTTTACAGAATCAGGTTGGAGTGTGTCTTTTTCAGAAGTTTCACCCAGAACTAATTCTTTTAAGATCAAAATAGTCATTCTGCATAATAATTCGACTTTTATTTGGAAGTAAGATGCTATAGTAGATGTTTAGCATATGTTTCATAAACTTTGGTAAATATCCTCCTTCTGTCCTCTGGGTTTTGTCTGGCGGGGGTGGTTGTGTGTGTGTGTGTGTGTGTGTGTGTGTGTGTGTGTGTGTACATATGAAGAATATGTGTATGAAGAAACTGAAGGGCAGTTTTAAATTTCACTTTTGACAGACGGATCAGCAATTACAGAGAACAGAACAATGACAGAAATGGAAAAACAATGAAAGAAAACTCCTAATTAATTTAACCTTTTTTTAAAATAACTTGACCGAACGTAGCCCTCGGGCCATTTGGCTCTCAGGCGCCCTGGGCCAGTGCTGCCCCTCTGTCTCTCCTGGAAGGTACGGGGCAGGGGCAGCCACAGCAGCACCCACACTGGTGTCTCCACTAAATGCCTTTCCCTCCCCCATCTGATTTCAGGTGTCAGAAACTACTTAAAAGAAGCATTGGTGAATATAATTGCTGTGCATGCAGAGGTAAGCCGTCCTTAGCTATTCCTAAGGGACGTGGGTAACTGGAGGAAAGAAGAGGCCAGTTCAATGGGTTTTATGGAGGTCTTTTTCCCTTCAGAATGTATTTTTGGTGTAAATAAAATACAACTCTGGTTTCAGCGCACGCACATGTGTGTTTTAACTGTGAGAGAGTCTTTTTCTGAAATTGGGTATGTTCTTTTCTCATAATTAAAACTAAACTCATGAATATTTGAAAGGTAAAGAGAAGAGAAATTGAAAGGATGTCTTTCCCTAACTTGGAAAATTCCTTGCCCCGTTTTTAACCAGTGTACAAATGAGCGCTGACATCTTACTCTCGCAGCTGTGGGGCGTGTTGGGAAGAAGTTAGGTGGTGGCCTCCCCTCAGCATCTCACAGAGGTGCCCCTGGACGTTGGTGCTGCTGGTCACACCCAGCCTGCCCTCCCGTGGCACTCTGTGCTTAGTGTCCCGCCGTTGTCCCTGCTGTGACTGCCTTCGTAATTCCGCAGTCGTGGACTTCCAGGTTGGCTGTGGCCAGTGAACTGTTGTCCACCAGATGAAATGGGCCCAGCAAAGAAGTTCTCAGTAGAAGATTTCAGGCGCAGTTGACCGCTGCTCGAGAACCTTCTGAGTATCTGCGTCTGGTGCAGGTGCATCGGGGGGTGTCAGGTTTACGTCACCCTCCACATGCACACGTGCTGCCTGGGTTACCAAGGTGAACTGGAGAAATGTGGATCATTAAGGCTGAAACAGAAGAGCGAGCAAAGGACACAGATTGCAGCCTCCACCTGGCTCTGAGTCTGAAGCAGCCAGAGCAGAAAGCGGAGTGGGGTGTCTTGTAATTTTCATTTCCTAGTGAGGCAGAGCATACATGTTTCTCCATAAAGTCAAGTTTTTATGTGATCTGACTCAGGCAGGAATTTGCCATGTACATCTTTTTATGAAGAGTGATATACTTTCAATCCTGATTTTATCAAAGACATATAAAAGCGCTTTTTTGTTAGGTTAGCTTCCGATAAAGTTAGAGTGTAACATTAAATCATCAGGCAGTGGAGACATTTCAGTCGTAGGTGGGCAGGTGGTAATCAGAGGAGCTGCAGAATATGTGGGCATTTTAGTGATGATGGTGATTCCCACTGAGGCAACTTTGATTAACGTCCACTGTCGGTCGATAACCATGACGTTGTTTGTATTAGGCTATTCAAGGCCCTTTTTAATATATCCCAGTGGCTGAAAACAGAATTTTGTACTTAACATTTACTATTCCCACATGATCTTAACTTGCCCCAAATTTTCTTCAGTACTCAGGTTATGTTTGGGTTGACCCAAAGGTTTAATACTAGTGATTGAATCTGAAAAAAGGAAAAGCTAAAAAGAAAATACGATTTAGTCTAACTTAGAAATCAGGATAGTAATATGTTTCTCCAAATGTCCAAACTGTTAGTTTGCAAATATCAAAATTCAAAGCTTGAAAACAATGTTTTTGTCAAATGAAAGGAAATATATATTTAATTCAGCAAAGAGTAAAATCGGGAACTCTGTTGGCCAATACAGAATAACGTATCCAGTGTGAAGTAGCATTTGTTTTGACCCAAGGAGAGTCTGACCCAGTATGTTTTTATTTCTATAATTTCCTCTTTAGAAATCGTATTTCTTCTTGTGAAAAGGGTAGAGGAGGAAGAAATCTTTAAAACTATTTCAGTTTGTCCCCATCAACAATACCTTTCAAAACTACATTTGCCAGTATTTTTTAAGAGGAATGTTTTTTGTCACGAATCAGTGAATACAGCTTGTGTGCAAGCCCGTGTCTGCCTTTCCTTCGTCAATTCTGATCCTGCAGAAATACAGCTAAGGAGACCTGGGGGGTGTTTTGCTACGTGCATCCCTTTGTTTTTAACAAGTTCTGGTCAAGGCAAGTCCTCATAATGCATCATTTCTTCTTATTTTCAACGTTCTATCAGGTGTTCACTATTTCCAAAGACCTGGTGCCTCGGGTGCTGTCTAGGGTGGTGGAAGCAGTTTCTGAAGAGCTGAGTAGGCTGATGCAGTGCGTCTCATCCTTCAGCAAAAACGGAGCATTGCAGGTACAACAGCCGCTCAGTTCTGTGTTTAACTTAGTTGTTTGAAAACACAGAGATGTGTTTTCAGTCATCAGCCTCAGGAGGTCCAGACAGGCTTCGTATTTTTCTGTGGATCTGCTGGTTGGAGAGCTACATGGTCTCCTGTGTGAGCCATATCCATGACGTCGAAAGGTCCAGAGTTCCTGTCCCTTTAGAGTACAGTGACTCTTGTGAAACTGTCTGAATGCAGATTCCTTCTGAAGTTCTGTGAGTTTTTCTGTTTTACGGTTGTCTTCACCACGTTCAATTTAACAGGAAATTTTTAGAAACTTCTTGTAAATAGTCTTTCCAGAGCATTCAAATGCAGTTTTCATAGAAACAACAAATAACTGTTTTTCTACTCATATTCCATTGGTTTATGTTGTATTTACTTAAACTACGTAATTACAATAGCAAACGTAACTTCTGTAAGCCAGATGAGCCTTGGTTTGCCTGTAGCCAGATCAGTAGGAACCAGGGTGTGCAGGCCTGTGGGGGTGTGAGCCCCCCTGTACGCCCTCATGCCCAAGGGCATTGTGAGGGTATCTTCTTAAAGTACCAGAAGTTTTGCATCTAGTAATGCCTGAGGACCTCCTATCAGGCCAAGCCCCTGCAGGTAACAACTCTAATCCTGAATAATATATAAAAATAAAAAATGTAAAAACAAAAACCTGAAGACTCTAGAGAGTGAACATGAGTGGCTGATTCTGGAAGAAATGGCACTTGGGTGAATTCCTCACTTTTTATGGATTTTGGCCTGAATGCAGGCCCAGGGGAAACTAAAACTACATAAAACCTGTTGTCTTTTCAGTTTAGAAGAATAGGCTTCAGGGCAGCCACAACTACAGGAAAGCAAGGGAGGTATCCCAGGGAGCAGAAAGCAGGAGCCGTAAGTTCTGTGTATACACTGCCTGGGTCTCTGGTTGGCCCCTAAACCACACGCCTGGTCAAACTCCACTGCAGCCCACATAAGGCAAGAACCGAAGTAAGAACTGAAAAGCTGCCCCAGAGCCGAGGGTTTTCAGTCTGAGTCCAGATACATTTATTGCTTGTTAAAATAAACAAAAATCAGCTCTTCAGAAGCATATTCTAGAACCCAGAGTCTTCTCAAGATAACATTCACAATGTCCAGGATACAATCCAAATTTAGTTGAAATGCACAAGCAGAACAAAACAGGAAAACATGACCCATTCTCAATAGAAAAGACAATCAGCTGAGACCAGCCCTGAGATGACCCAGTTGTTAGAAATCAGACAAGGATTTTAAAGCAGCTGTGTTCAGTGATGTAAAGGAGACTATGCTCCTAATGAATGAACAGACAGGGAATCTCAGCAGAAAAATAGGAGCCCTAAAATAGGAACTAAGTAGAAATTCTGGAGTAGAAAAGTATAATACATTAATATTTTAAAATATACTTGATGGTAATAACAGCAGGATAGAGAGGACAAAAGAAAAACAATCAGTGAATATATAGACCAAACATCAGTTATCCAATATGAAGAAGAGAGAGAAGAATAATTGAGAAAAAGTAAACAGAGCTCTAGGGACCCTGGGACATGTGATTCCATGTCCAATCAGCAGGTGAAGGATGGTCCACATCGTTAGTTATTTGAGACGTGAAAACTGACACAACAGTGAGTTCCCATCCAGCAGGAAGAAGAAAATTAAAGACTGAAAGCACCCAGTTTTGGCAAGACTGTAGAGAAGCGAGTTCTCACGCGTTGGCAGGAGTGTGAAATAGTACCGCTGCTTCGGGAAAAGTTCTTGCAGTTTCTTTGAAAACTAAGTATACACTTACCCATCCAAACACTGGAAACAGCCCAGGTGTCCATCAGTAGGGTAAACAAACAAATGGTGGATCCATAAAACAATTACCGTTCAGCGTCAGGGAAGCCACGTGAAGGGGGCCTTGTACTGGATGGATATCATTTTCGTGGAGAAAACCCCAGGACGATGCTGCCCCCTGGGTGGTTGACACCAGCTGGGGAGCTGAGGGGGCTCTGCAGGCGGTGGTCCTACACCTCGGGATGGTTCCCGCACACAGCGTGTGCAGCAGCCCGAACTCACCAGATGTGCACTCGAAGATTTGCCCATTGTGCAGTGGGTAAGTTTTAACTCAACGAATCAAAAAAGTTGCAACAGCCTACTCCAGGCAGTGACGCCTGTGGCAGATGCGTGTGCCGTGGAGAACATTGGCGGCGGAGTCTGTGCTGCACAGGTGCTCGCCGTAAAGTTCTCCCAGAGTCTCGGCACTTGAAAAACTTCACACAGAAACGCAGGGTGAAAGGGATTGAGCGTGTGTATTGACCTGGCAAGCTGGCGAGGGGAAAATCCATCACAGAAACTTCATAATATTTCCGTGATCATGGCTGTTCTAACAGTTGTGCAGGAGGAGATCAGTAACAGGAATTGTGTATGTGAAGATGAATTGAAAGGAAGTTGCAGTAGCTGCTTTGGGCCTAGGCGGTCCTGGAATTACAACAAAAAGCTCCCCTCCCTGCAGATTTTTTCTGCAGCCCATTTAGCTGATGACTGAGTTCCTCTCGCAGGAGGGTCAGCAGGAAGGGGCAGAAAGAGACATCGGAACCGGCTGGCAGCCCGGCCTCCTGAGCTCTGTGCCTCCTGGAGACTGGCGTCAGTTGTGTTGTGAAACGTTGGCCACTGCCGTTCGGGATGCCTGTGTGTGACCTCCTGCTGATCAGATGGCTCTGCGAGGCCCGCGTGAAGGGTTGGCCTGGCCGTCAGCCTCAGACCTTCCCGAGAGCCGCCGGCAGGGGCTTTTTCTGGCAAACGGTCCATGTATTTTGTATAAATAATCACAGCTTTTACAGTTGGCATAATTCATAGGTTAATTCCTTATCACTTTGTTTGAATAAAATTTCTAGCAGATACTAGTTTTACAGTGATTTAATCCTTCTCCTAAAATATTCAGCCGAAAGTTCTACCTTGTTTTTTCTCTTTGATGTTTTCCTTGTAGGTTCATTTTTATATACACTAGAATGTAAACAAGAGAGACAAATTGTCATATCTACGCTTTCTCATTACAAACTGTTTCAGGCTTCTAAACCCCTGAAAAATGAAACCAAACAATTGCTTTCCAAACTGAACATTTCACTGAATGTACTGTATCTTATGTAAGTCAGCTTTTATCTTGATTGGTTAATTTAAAAACTAGCCATGTCTTTCATTGTTGTTTGTGTTTTGTGCACGCCTAGAGGTGAGGGCTGTGTCTTTAAAACAGTCTCCTGGGCAGCACGCACACTGCGGTACCTGAGGTGAAGGAGGGTGTCCTCGCTGGGGGCCCTAGGGCTCCGAGGGCAGCAAGCTGTGTGCAGAGCACACCCTCTCCACCCTTGCCAAGAGGTAGAAGCGTTAGGTTAGCTTGTTTTTTCTTAAAAGTCTTACGCAGATGAAATTCATGTGCCGTACAGTGCGTCTGCAAGATAAAAAGAATACAGTTCAGTGGATTTTCTTCTGCTGTGTTCACAGAGTTGTGCAGTCCGTCACCACAATCCACTGTGGAACGCTGCATCACCCCAGAGAGAAACCCCAGCCCCGTTAGCGGTCACCGTCCACGTCCCTCCCAGCCCCCACCCCAGCCACTGACAAGCACCTGTCTGCTTTCTTTCTCTGGTTTGCCTCTTCTGAAAATTTCATAAAAGTGGGATCATAGAATATGGCTTTTTGTGACGGGCTTCTTTCACTGAGCGTAATGCTTGCAAGGTTCGTCCCTATTGCAGCCTGTGTCATGCCTTGTTGTGGCTGAATAACGTCCCATTGTATAGATATGCCACATTTTATTTGTTCACTCATCATTTGATGGACATTTGGGTTTGCACTTTTTGGCTGATACAAAGAAAGGTTCTGTGAACAATTGCGTACAAGTTTTCTGTGGACACATGTTCTCATTTCTCTTGGGGATACCCCCGGGACTGGAATCGCTAGGTTATGTGGCTACTCTGTGTTTAGTCTTTTGATGAGCTGCCAGACTGTTTTCCAAGTAGCTATACCATGTGCTTTCCTACCAGCAGTGTATGAGGTTTCCAAATTCTCCACATCCTCGTCGGCACGTGTGACTGTCTGGTTGGTCGTAGCCGTCCCCGTGTGTGTGAAACAGTATCTCATTCTGTGGGGTCGTCACTTTTGTGATGGTGTCCTTTGTAGCACAGAATGTTTTGATTTTGATGAAGCCCAAATTATCTAATTTTTCTTTTGTCACTTGTACTTCTATTGTCATTCCTAAGAAGGCAGGCCTGGCCTAATGTCACAGAGGTTTACTCCTGTTTTCTTCTAAGGGTTTTATAGTTTTTTCACTTACATTTAGGTCTGTGATCCATTCTGAGTCAGTTTTTAAGGAAGGGACCCACCTTCTGTCCTTTTGAGTGTGGACGTCCAGTTATCCAGCTGTCCCTAGCACCATGTGTTGGAGAGACCATCTCTCCCACCAAATGGTCTCGGCACCTTGTTGAAAGTCAGCTGATCGTAAATGTAAGGGTTTGTTTCTGGGCGCGCAGCCATGTTCCTGTTGATCTACATGTCTGTCCGTGTGCCAGTGCCACACTGTTTGGATTATGGTAGCTTTGCAGTAAGTTTTGAAATGAGAAGGTCTGAGTTTCTCCAACTGTGCTATTCCATTTCCATATTGTTGTGTCTAGGATCAACTTGTCAAGTTTTGTTTTTAAAAAGAAAAAAGAAAAGAAAGAGAAAAGCCAGCTGTGACTTTCATAGCGCTGCACTGAGTCTGCAGAGCTTAGCTCTGAGGTTAGCATCGTGGAGCCTGGAAGGGCAGGGCAGGAGGCAGTGTGGCAGCCCGCGTCCTTCCACCTCCTGTCAGTCTCAGGACAGGACAGTCCTGGTCTCCCCAGGGAGACCAGGGGAGGCACTGGTTGGAGGGTGACATCTGGTGGCTGGACGGCCCTGGCACAGTCCCTACCTTTCAGAGCAGGACACCTGCCTCCACACAGTCAGACTTGACTCTCAGACAGTTTTCAGTGAAAGGGAACTTTGTTGTGGCCGGTTTCTTTGGGCTGATTTAGAAGGTCTGCTCACTCGTAACAAGCTGCCACTGTGGCCATGGGGGTCTGCCCTGCATGGAGCAGGCTGGGGGCCGACCCTCGCGTTGTTTCTGTTTGACAGACAACATAGTTCCCATGGTCACCTGTCCCTTTCTCACCTCCAGGCAAGGCTTGAAATCTGCACCCTGAGGGACACCGTGGCTGCTCACCTGACGCCAGAGAGCAGGTGAGATGCTCCGTGGCCGTGCTGTGAGTGCTCCGAAAGCCCCTGTAGTAAAGCTCGTCGTACAGGCGTGAGGTCCCAGGTGAAGGTGACTGATCACAGCGAGCGCTTGTGACTGTGGTCTCAGAGTTCATGTGCGATCAGTTGTTTTGTTAAAAGCACAAACCTACAGCGAGCCAAGGATTCCAGAGACTGCTCCTTTGTAGCACAGAAGGAAAAAAGGTTTAATGTAATTTCATGTTTCTCATTCACTGAGGTAAGTCTTAGTCTCATAAGCGGTGTAGCAGAGCATTGCATACTTCTTTTGAAAAGGAGAAAATAAGAATTGAGTCAGTCTATTCATCACAGACTCTGAAGGACAGTTCAAGCATCATGAGTATCAGCATAAGAGGAAGACCTTGTGGTTTCTCTGCAGAATTTTGTAGTGGAAATTTGGTGATAATTCTTAGCTGTTTTGAATGAAAGTCAGGATTTCCTATCATTGAAACATCAGTAGGTGAACTGAAACAGCACTACCTACAGAAGATTGTTTACCCCATTGGCAGTATTGCCTGGGAAGTGTTGGGTCCACAGGGGAACTGCTTAAACACGATGTGCGATGTACTTACCGTTCGTTTCCAGCTTTAGACGGTGTGCTCGTGCCGTCATCCTGACTGTCATTGCTACAGCTGAAAACTTTTCCATTTTTTCCTAACACATGAGGTTATTAGCCTCTTACTTCTGTTCTGGCGGCTGACCGGGAGCCTTTCTGGTTTGTTCCCACCACTGCTGCTCTGCACAGGTGCTGAGTGATAGACACCAGAAAGCACCCGCCCAGGACCCATGGGTGAGGTGCTCTGCATGAGGACAGACCTGTGTGTTCTTTCCCACTGACTTGACCTTTCGTAGCCCAGCTTCCTCATCTGTGACAGGAAGATAATAATACTTTCTAGGCAAAGTTTTGGGGGAATTAAATGAGAAACTATGTCAAACCACCCAGTAAACTCTTGGTGGGGTCACCTTCATCCTCTTCTTCTTGGTCGTGATGTAAAAATAGAGAGCAGTGGCCTCACATTGCTCTTCATCGAATGAGAAGAGGTTTACAGGAAATCAGGTGACAGTGGAGGCGGCGGTAGAGACTTCTCTCCACGTCAGGGAAGAGGACTGAGTGCCCACAAGTTGTGACCTGTCCCCACCCCCCCATACCTGACCCACCAGGAGCAGCTGGGCACCCTGCCAATTTCTGGGGCCCTGTTGGTACTTTGCTGTCTCTCTGTGTGTTGCTCTGATACCTGCCCCTAGTTTGAGAAACATTGCTCAGAAGTTTATTTCCTGGTCCACTGATGCAGACGTTTTTACAAAAAGAAAAAAATCAAAGGCCACTTTGAAGTCAAAATAATTACATTTATTTCTTTACTTTAGTCAATAGTCATAAAACAAAAAGAGATGAGAACTGTTCCTTAGTGAACAATACAAGTTATTACCAAATAATCTCCCCTAAAATGCTTTTCATTTGATTTAGTAACTTTTCTGGTACTTTCTACTTTAAAAAGTTAAACAGACCAAATTGGTGGTTTTTAAATCCACTCCCTTTTCCGTATTTCATGAAATGAAATGATGTTGAATTACACACACACACACACACACACCCCTCTCCATTATCGTACAAATTTCAAATATGATAACAGCTAAATCCTCTTAAGACATGTTCAGTTATTATAAGAGGTTGGCTGGAAATCAGGCCCTGCACAGGTCAATTCTAGAAATACCCCCTTTGTATACTGTTGCAGAAGATCATCCCTGTTTCTACTTAGCCCTCTTCCTCCCTTACCAGCTGTTTCATCTGTGTACTTCAGCTTTGTTTTGAAAGTAAAGACCTCCTTAAATTTAATGACTCCACACGAAGCTCTCACCTAGCACGGTGAGTAGCACCTTTGTGTAAAAATCAGCTTCTCCTTTGCTTTTCAAGTTGTGTTTTATTTGCTGGTTGAATTCTTCTGGCCCAGCTCCTACAAACCCTCACTTTCACTTTCACTTTTCCCCCTGCTTCTACTGGCCTGTATGTTTCTCTGTATGTAAGATGCGCTTTTTCTGACGTTCCTCTTCCCGGTGGGGCCGGCGTGTCCCTGCCTGGGATGCTGTCTGTGTTCCAGATCCAGTTTCAAGCAGGCTCTGGAAGCCCTACCGCAGCTCTCGAGCGGAGCGGACAGAAAGTAAGTCTGGGTGCTGGTCTCAGGGACCTAAACTCCTCCTCTTCAGGTGGAGACTTGGCCTTGAGGAAGGCGGTACTCGGTGGCCCTCAGGTATGTGTTGTTAGCTTGTCTCCCACGCGGCAGAAGGAGGTAAAACCTGGGTTTCATGACAATTCAGAAATTGGTTCTTTTACTGTTTTAAGTGACCGTACCAGTCCCTTAAACGTCCATAAGAAAGTTTATTTTGACTCACTCAGTAAACTATATTCTTATCTGAAATTTTTAAGAAAATACTTCGAGAAACGTAAAAGAGAGGACAGCATAGTAAAATGCAGGACTCAATGATTTTTTCCTTCCAGTAGGTCAGCAGTGTACATTTTGTGCTCTATAATATGAAGTGTTAAGACTAAATTTGTAGACATGACATAATAAAGTTATATACGTTTCGCTAATATTGTGTTAATGGTCTCAGCGTGACCTCAAACTTTGCTACTCACGTAACAGGAAATTCTGACCCGAGACAAAGTCTAGGCCAGGCAAAGGTCACGAGTGCCCGGGCTCCCCTCACCTGAGACAGCGGAAACACCGCCGGCCTGGGCCCCTTCCCCAGCCCGGCCGAGGTCCGCCCACCCTTGCAGCTGGCTGACAAGGCAGACAGTTACGGAGCCCTGACTGCGTGACACCCTCGGTGTGGCCTGGGGCAGCACAGAGGATGTTGTGGACACTCAGAGGGCAGAGGGAGCCTGTAGGGTGTGGACGGGGCTGGGAGGACGGGCGGCAGAGACCTTCCTAGTCTCCTGCTCCTCTCGCTGACTGTGTGGTTCAAATGCTGTCCATTCCTCTAGCATGAACATCATGAAAGATTGAAGCAGCCACGTATCGTTAACATGTGCAGCTAGTGCTCGCTAGGCTCAAAAGACCAGTGCTTTTGAGGGAGTCAGGAGCAGCAGACACCACAGTGAAGGCCAGGACGGGGGCTGTTTCAGATCTGCGGGGAGCGCCGTGAAACCAGGAAGTAGTCTCTTGACCCCAGTAAGCTCGTTTCTTGGCTGCTTCCTCTGAGCCAGACGAGCTGTAAGGTCCCTTGTGGCCCCAGAATGATGCGGCTCTGTCTGGCCAGCACAGGGACCAGGCAGGTTATTGCTGGGGTTGGGACTGACCCTGGGTGTTCCTGTGCTGCATTCACCCCTTCAGTCCCCTTCTCCAGTGTTTGCAAAAGGCAGAAATGCAAAATAAGAGCAACAGAGAAGAGACCAGTAGTTGCCACGGGGTGGGGTGAGGGCAAAGGTGACGGCAGACGGGCAGCACAGGAGGATTTGGAGGTGACGGGACTGCTCTGTCCCGACGGCGGGGTCTTGAGGCTGCTGCGGTGCGTTTAGCAACGGGCACAGAGCTGATGCCAAAAAGAGTACATCTCAGTGTCTGTGAGGTGTTTAAAATTAGAGGCTCAAATACCCAAACACCAGTCTGTTTGGGGGAGCATCTAACTAATCTAGGGGAAGGGGACAGAGGGCGATCTTATGTGTAAGGTGAAGACGTCTGCACGTGTATGTCCTTGCAGCTAGCTTCTTTGGTCGGCTTATTTCTGTCACTGAGTCCAGAATCCACAGATGAGTGACTTTCCTGGCCCAGGGAGGCACCGTGGGGCAGGGCGTGTGGGGGACCGGACCGGACCGGGCGAGCGTGTCTGGGTCCCGCCCGCCACCCGCCCGTGGCTGTCAGCGCCTCTCCCCACAGGCTGCTGGAGTTGCTGCTGAGCCGGGTCAGGAGCGGCGTGCACCTGCAGCTCGCCTGCTTCCAGGCCGCCCCTCCACCTGCCGTGAAGACGCAGGTGCCTTCCAGATGACGCGCTCCCCCGAACACCCACAGGTATATCTGGGCAGAAAGCTCCGGTTAGGCTTGCGATCTCTCTCTCTTTCCATTCCCTTGAATTGGTAGCTTAGGAAGATGTTGGTATGTGTTATATTTCAACCAAAATGACCTGATATAAAACGTCCAAGCAGCATTTGCTTTGTCGCTTTTATTACGTTAGGCCCCGTATGACTTTCAAATGCCTTTTTAAAACACAGCGTTTTCTCTCGTAGCTGCATGCTGCACGGTGAAGGCTGCGGAAGACGGGGCGGCTCAGGCCTACACCGAAGCATCTTCCGGGGCCTCCTGCAGCTTCCAGGGCACCTGGGGCGGCGACGAGAGATTCATCGGGAAGTTACATGCGAGCATCTGGAGCTTCAGCTGTCCTAAATTGTGCAGCTGTGCTTAAAACCTTTATTTCATACAGATGGCTCCCGATTCAAGTAGACTTTTAGAAAAACGTGTGGTCTGAATAAAAAGGTGTGACATTTGGGCTGTGCTTTCTGTGGTCCTCCATCCGTGAGTTAACTGCTGCCGGTTTCTATGTTCACAGCGCTCGTGACATTGAGCCTCTTTTGTGTGACTCGCCCTGAACCTGACGTGAGCCTTGCGGCATCGTGCCTCCTGCCCCAGGACCCCCTTGCACGCGTGGGGAACGGTGGGCCCAGGCGCCTCGTCCGCGCTGTCCCTCTGGCACCTTCCGCGCCACTTCTGGCCCCTCGAGTGGCCTGCTTGGTGGCCGCGGGGGGTCTGCTCTGGTGGCATCTGTGTCACCAGGCGTGGGAGCTGCCGCTTACACCGTTACCAGAGCAGGTCAGGCTGCCGCGACCTCCTTCAGAGTCAGCTTCCCTGACCTGACTTTGTCACACCGTTTGCTTCAGAAAACTGAGTCAGGGTTTTAGATTTTTCCAGGGATGTCACAGAATCCCCTTTTCAACACTGGCATTAAGGTCTGTATTAATACGGCGAGCTCTGCGGTCCATCATGGCCATGTGCAGTGTCCATCGTTTGAAGTGAGTCCCTGTTGTGTTTGTGCATTTGTTGCTGTTGGGGGATGGGGCGTGGCAACTAGAAGGGAACGTTTCACCTTGTACAGATGTGCTGGATAAGCTTGTTAAGAAATATACGGACTGTCGTCTGTCCTAAGCATGTTAACCATTGTATCTGCCACGGCTGAGAACTAAATTACAAAACTGCAATCCTGAGTGTTTGTGTTATTTTAAATATCTGATGCAGAGCCTTCAGCCAATAAAGAGTGTGTCTTTAATACGAGATGTAAGTTAGTTGACGTTTTTTCCCTAAGCATCTTCATTTCAGCATTTTCATTAGCTGTGTAACTTTTTATATGTCTAGTTATAACCCTCACAATAAATATTGGGTTGGCCAAAAAGTTTGTTCGGAACTTTTGGGCCAACCCAGTGCTTAAATCCCGGTTTACCTTGTGTTTGTCTGATCGTTGTTGGAAAGCATTACCAGGGGTCCCGCTGATTCGCCTCTTGTTGGGGGCCCCGCCCTGTCAGGCCCATAGGAGCCAAGACGAGGACTTCATGGCTCAGGGAAGCACAATAACACTTAAGCAGAAGAGGACCAGGGAAGCACTTCTGTGGCTCGGAATGGAGCGTCGGAGCATGAGAACCTCAAACCCAAAGGAGGGGGTTCACGGAGGACTTGCTGGAAGAACAGCTGCTTGGGCTACAGAAGACGGTTTAGTGGTTAAGAGGAGATTGCTGGCTGTAGTGAAGTTAGAAGAAAGCCGAGAGGCGAAAACAGGCGCCGAGAAGACACGAGGCGCCCAGAGGCCCTTGGGTCCAGCACAGCCACGTCGGCCTGGCCTTCAGCACCAGGAAGGTACTGGCAGTGGTCTGGGCTTGCCGAGACTCCCCGTATCTGTGTCCCATGAAAGTGCATGTTCCAGAAATGATTCCCTCGTCACAGACAAGCATCCTGCGGTGGGCGCGGCACCCAAGTCACTGTCCTGTCCCCGTCCTTCATCCAGTTTTCTTGAAGGAGGAGAACTAAAGAGCTTGCACTTGCAACTCTGATTTGGTTCAAGACGGTGCTGGGTCTCGGTCCTGATCATGTGCTGTCAGGCGTGCAGCTGGTGGTTGTATGAGAGCCACAGTGTGTTTGAAGCAGCTTTTACATCAAGATGAGGGTTCTAAAGTAAGAGTCAACTAGGTTTTATTTAATACATGGTTAAAGTAATTGTCACAAAACTACCTACCAGCACTGTCGTGAAGGTGAATACGCTCTGCAATCTAAAACATGGATTGAATGTCTGATATGCATAACACAGAACATCAATTTCAATGACTAGCTTTGCTTTAAATGCAGGTTGCATATTTGTTGTGTATGAGATTCATCGTGCTCTTTGTGCACTGATGTCACCTCAGTTTCTGTCCACGCACACTTTTCATTCAGTTTCGGTGTATGTATCACTGGAAAGGCTTTTTGTGCCTGGCCAGGTGATAAATACATAACAAAAATGTTTTCCAAACAGGAGCTGGGTCTGCGGGTGTGCCTGTTGGTGAAAGCCAGGAGCGCCCCTCGACCGGCTGGCCCTGGAGCTGGCCGCACTGTCCTCCTCATTGTGGAACCATGACTGTCCCGGCTTGTGACTGTGGCCACTGTTGACCATTGTGCTGGTTTTCGTTGTTTCTGTCACGTTTTTCTCGAATTTCCCTTCCCGCCCTCCCTGCCTACAGACCTCCAGCTGGGCACCAGCAGCCCCTGAGAGCAGAGACCACTGCTGACTCTGATTGCCCGGGAGGCCCAGGGACTTGAGTGGGGCTGAGCCACAGCGGTCACGGAGCGACGGGATCATGGGAAGAACAGAGGCCGTCGGCAGGCGGGGCGGGGGTCCAGGGGATGAGTGCGGAGAGGTGGTGGCTGGGCTTGGCAGCTTCCTGGTTTCCTGAGTGACCAGAGAGCAACAGGGAAGGAGTCGGAGGAACTGGAGACTTGGCACCGACTGCCCACCGGCCACTGGGTCAGCCTGCAGGCCCCTCCTGGGCTCCGGGTGTCCAGTCAGTTCCGTCGGGTCGCCGCCTTTGCTGCTGCCCTTGCTGCGTTTTCTACGTAGTCTTCCCTCACGCCAGAGCCCCTCCACCCCAGCTCCACGGAGGGCCTTGCAGACGGGCTCAGGTTCGCCTGGAGTAAGTAAGGTCGCCCAGCCTGTGCCCAGCCTGTGCCCTCAGGTCCCTGCCTCGGCTGCTGCTGGAGCAGCCACCGCTCCATCCCTCCTTGGTCTGGCAGCTCCCTGAGAAGGGTGGGCGGAGGAGAGTGTCTGAGACCGTGATAGCCGCGTGAGGATTCTGGCTTGGAGGCCTCCTTCCCAGCTCTCAAGCCTTTGCACCGTCGACCTCAGTGCCCGGCTCCGTCGCTCTCTGCTTGAAGGATTGTCTCCTTTTCCCAGTTCTCAGTTCCTGACGTTGCTCTGGGTCGTGATGCCTTTTGGTTCCTAGTGCTGAATCGAATGTCTTTAGATTCTGGGAAGTTGTCTTGAATCATTTCTTTGAATCTCCTCTGCCCCTGGTGTGTGTGGTTTTGTTGGTTTTTTCTCTTTGTTTTTAGTATTAGGATCTCCTATCCTGGACCTTTTTAAAATTTTAAAAATCTTTTCCCTCTTGTTTTCTCTTTGCCTTTATCCTACTTCCTGGGAAACTTTGACATTTACTGTCCAGCCTTCCTGTTGGGTTTTCCATTTCTGCTATGTTGATTTTAATGTATGAGTTTTTTGTCCCCTGAATATTCTTTTTTGTAGAGTCCTGTTTATTTCTGATTTCTCTGGGAATAATAATACACTTCCAGAAGTTTTTTTCTTTTTTCTTTTTTCATAGTCTCCAGTTTGCTGTATTCTTCTGTCTCATGCAGTAGAATAAACATCGCCATGAGCTTTCTTCAGATCTGTAGCAAGCTTGGATATCTACTTACATTTAGCAGTAGAGCACTATAAAGCTGGATTGGATCGCGAGCTCCCTGCGGTGGAAGGGGCTTATCAACTGTGGGCTTCAACCAGGGTGGTCTGGATGGGCCTTTTCATTGGGGAGTCCCCTAAATTGATACATTTAGGTCACTTCTCTGGGGCTGATCAGATTTCCCAGAGGGGGTTCTTCTGATCTCATGCCAAGTGGGTATGAGGTGCCTTCAGCGTCTGGAAGCAAGAGCAGGAAGAAGGCTGGGAGGTCACGTTTTCAGGGCAGCACCCCTGCTCTCACCTGGACCTGGTATCGCACAAGCTCCTGCATTTACCATCGCGGAGAAGGAAGCCCTGGCTCTGCTGAGGGGGACAGGTGAGGAGCCCTGGGAACATCTGCCTCTTTCTTATCAGCCTTTGAGCCGACCATTCAGTTTTAGCCCAACTTTATCCCCACTTTCAGGAGCTGCCACACCACAAGTTCTTGAGCCTTTGGGGCTCAGTTTTGCCATGTAGACTAGGCTGCATCCTTGCTTTTCATGCTGCCAGTTTAGGGTCTGACTTTTAGGTCAGCTACATCAGTTTCCACTCACTCATATCCTCGGCAGCTTTTAAACTCCTGTGGCCGTTTCGTCTCCTGTTCTCCTTTTTCTTTGCAGATATACATATATATTTATTTAATTGTATTATTAACTATCTCTGTATAACTACATCTGTACTGTTGTGTGCAGTAGATGGACTGTGTGCATGTACTGGGCATGGATGCTGTATGTACACACGTACACACACACACACACACACACACAAATGCACTGTCATTTTCGTAGGGTTTTGGTTAGAGCTAAGGTTAATGTGCGGTTTTAGTCTGCCATCTGTAACTGAAAGTTCAGGTTAACTTTTTGTTTCTTTGTTTTGTTTGATCATAACACCAAACTCCTTACATGTGCATGGTCTTCAGGTTTGTTGCTCACAAGACATGATCATTTACTGCAACTTTCAAAAATTGAAAGGCATATTAGGGGAGAGGAGCCATGGCCTCCTGTTCTGATGACACCACTCCCCACCCCCAGGGGTGACAGTACCAAATCAGACTT